CTTCAATCGTTGCAAACGACGAGTATTATTATTATTTGAACATGGTAAATAAACTGCTTCTCTCAGAGGCTGGGCGGCCCTATTGATTGAAATTAGCAGCACATCCTACTGAACATGGTAAAGGAATGAAATAAAAACTCTCAAATAATATCTACTCTCAAATAATATGAACTAAAAACTCCCTTCAAAATCCCGCACCTCGCATTTAAATACTGCGGCACCCGATGAGGCTTAGATATTACATGATATTGCCAGCCAACCAGGAGGGCTCTTACGAAGCCAACCAATTGCAAAACGGGATATATCCAATTACCCTTTAGGTCATCCGACCAATTAATTGAGGAGTTATACCTTTAATTAATTATAACCAATGACAAGCATAATAGATGAGTGTTATCTGATCTAGTCACCGACAAAAATGGGAGGAGTCTATCTCTTCGCGAGAATGTCGCGTCCCCGGCAAAACAGTCTATTGTCTAACTTGTTATTGGAAATGAACACCTGTACATCTTGACGCAGGAATTCATTCCCAACGTGTTTTTCGAAATGAACACTTTAATCTAATGCAAGAATTCAAACCCAGGGGTTGTTTACCCGTTCCCGGCATACTATTGGAAACATAATTAATGTTCTTTAACTTTTAGGTGAATACAATTAATCAACCCAGCTCGGCTCTTATATGGCTCTAGCGCCCCCTTTAGCCCAAATGAGCGTACTACTACAATATTTTTGCCTAAAACATTACTGTTATATACATGTTTGCACAGTTCAAAGTAAACATCGTATGTTTTTAAAAAATAGGTTATCGAGACTCAAAGAGAGACTGGATATTATAGGCCTATAATCAGGCGCGTACACAGGGGGGGGGGGGGGGGGGGGGGGGTTAAACCCCCCCCCCCCTTTGGTAAATTTTTGTGTGTAAACCCCTCCTTATTTTCCCTAAACCCGCCCCCCCCCCTTTTTTAATTAAAAAAAAAAAAAAAAAAAAAAAAAAAAAATTCCCATGGCCGACCTCAAAAAGATGACCTTACCCCCCCCCCCCCCCCCCAACGGAGCAAAATGTCAAATTTTCAAATTTCGATACCAAAAAAAAAAAAAAAAGTGTCCCATGACATCTCACACATTTTCAGTGCCTGTGTTTTCATCTTCTCTTGAGTTCTTTCTCTTACTTCACTACCATCAGGCTAAATGTATAATCTATTGCCTCACTCTAAACCCCGCGCATGGTTTTATTTTGATGACAAATGCAGCGATACAAAAATAAAGGAATCTGTCGCTTGTAAACAAAATAAGACGCCATTGTATATTCAGCTGCATACACCGGGGTATGTTCGGCGTTTCAAGAGGGAACACATGCCGTCCTTAATATCAATCCGGGGGCTTTTCAATTTGAAAGTCTGGGTTATTTGATTGTTAATTAACCCCTATCCTGAGTATTTACAAGCAGAAGATTTTAGTTATCAGAATCGGGTCATGTCCCCTTTTGATCGGTTTGACATGCCATTACATTTATATACACTAAACTCATTATAATTTGAGAAATAATAGCTTTGCAATTATGTTCATCCTTTATGGGATGTCGTCTGCTTGGGCAGTATTGGTCCCTGTTATGACGTCATTAAAACATCGTTATTTTTCTGGCGAATCTCTCGTATATCCCAGCTGCTATGGAGGTGGTTGTATTTTTATTTTTATAAATCACCCGATATGTAGCTGACCTCAAACTTGTACGATGGCCATCTGTTAGCTAACCAGTTTCTAGTGATACATTAGTTGACATATTTGTGATTTTCTTTGAATTTCACCTTTAAAAGAGCGAGCGGAATATTCATTTTTGTAACACCGATCTATTTCTATAACTCTTAATCTTGTAAACATAATATACAGTGTCAACTGTGCTACTCCCGTAATACCAACGGAATACAGATTTTCTACCATATTTTCTTGTACATTTTGAAGTTCATTATGGGAAAAGATCTTTGCATTTTTATTAGTCTAAACGCCTGGGGGTCTCAGTCAAATATAAATACTCTAAGCATACGTGACCAAGAAAATGCGTATAAAGGGTTTTTTGTTTTATTTTTTTAGATTGGAGGCGGTCCGCGCGGTGCCGCATGCATTAAGGGGTTAACAAACGTCTATTTTGGGGCCATTTTCGAGAAAAGGGGTACTTTTTCAAAATGGTTCAAAATCCTGCTGTACACGCCGGTATACACGTTTAGGGGTTATTTTCTAGCCTCCAGTGCTAGACCGGGAAAAAGGTGTAATAGTGTCCATTTGCGAGACTACCGGCCGCCGCCTGCGCCTGCCGGTATTTAGATCTTCAGTGGATCAAGATGGATGCCCACGATACGGGCCGACCTAGACCAAGCCTCACGCATATATATAGCTGGTTCCTTATACTTTGTTTTGCATAGTAGAATAGTATCTGTTCATTGTATATTGTGTACTTTTTGTAAACACTACTTTCTTTACATAATATAGATCAAGTTTGGAATGATTTTTTTTTTCCTCCAAAGAAAGGACTTATATGATGTCTGTGCATACCTGTGTAAACAGGTTGATGTTATTGCTTCTCTTTTGAAATACATTTTTACATCAGAAGCGCAATTTTATTTATTTTACATTGTCAACAACTTAAATAATAATCCCTATCGTACTTCAAAACGCTCAAGGGGTTATAATTTTACAATACTTGTTTAAAAGTACACTTTTTTTGAAATACCCGTTTAGTAGGTTGTGAATTCGGGGAAAATATCACGCGAAATTCTTATTTAGGGTGTATTTTGGCTTTATAAGAAATCCTCGTTTAGGGGGTGTCTGGAATACCTCTGGTCACGCATGCTTACAGTGAGACCCCCGCAGGGGTGTCGATTTGTATCCGTGGTTGGGGGGGGGGGGATGAAAGGGGCCAAAATATTTTCGGCAATGGATCAAAGCAACCAAGAGGTAGAAGCGTGTGGCAGGTTGCACCCCTCCCTTCCAAGTTATTAACTTTTTTCAAGTCACCCTCAATAAAGATAACATTTCAGAGAATATGGAACCCATGTGGGGCCCACATCACCACATGAGCTTGCTACCTGGGTTATTATCCTCTCAAGCGCGTAATTACCAGGATTTTATTTTAGGGGGTAGTAGTGAGCTCTGACAATTCATTAAATTATTAAAGAAAGAAGACGATTCGTTGTACCATTCTCGACTCTTAATCCTTGTCTGAATTCAGTTCCCCCCCCCTCCCGCGCGAAGCGCGGAAGCTCTGACGTTTCATTAAATTATGAGAGAAAGAAGACGATTCGTTGTACCGTTCTCGACTATTAATCCTTGTTTGTATCAAGTTCCCCTTTCTCCGCGCGTAGCGCGGAAGCTCTGACGTTTCATTACATTTTTTTAGAAAGAAGACGATTCGTTGTACCATTCTCGACTCTTAATCCTTGTCTGAATTCAGTTCCCCCTCCCCCTTCCGCGCGAAGCGCGGAAGCTCTGACGTTTCATTAAATTATGAGAGAAAGAATACAATTCGTTGTACCGTTCTCGACTATTAATCCTTGTTTGAATCAAGTTCCCCTTCCTCCGCGCGAAGCGCGGAAACTTTGATGTTTCATTGAATTATTAGAGAAAGAAGACAAAAGACGAGTATAATAACCATTACATGTACTCTCATCGGGCTCTCATCATTAATTTTTTTTTTTTTTTGTGATGGTGAATTATTGGGGGGATGATTGTACAGGCCATTCCCCCCACCTGAAATATTGGGGGGATATATCCCCCATCCCCCCGGGATCGACACCCATGGACCCCTGGGTCTACTAAACGCTGCACTCTTCAGAGCCTAAAAGTGTGTTGCAGTCGGTATTTGCTATACAATTTTTGGCAATTTTTTTAAATTTTCCGGGGGTGACGATACTCCCCTAAACAAATTGAGGGGGGGGGGGCAAAATGTATGCAAAGTAAGTACAACGTGCCTATACCTTATGTTACATAATATTCCTTTTAGCTGTTTATTAAAATGAGGTCCCATGATAGAACTCTGAAAGTCAACATAATTTGGTAACAATATATCTCGTGTATTTATTCATTAATCTAATTTATGATTGAATAAATAATGATCAGTTTGAAATGTCACGTTACAAGGCATAGTTACAAGGCAGACATCCACAGTAATATTCCTCTTATCAGATAGTGCACGTACCTCGTTCGTTTGATCAAAATGCACTGGGCTGCCGTACTAAAGTCACCTTCATAATTCATATGTACGTCATCATGAAAAGTATTGTTTACACGCCCCGTTAGTCATGAAAGAGAGTTCAACTTTTCTTTCCTCATAAGAACTGAAACGCAAATACTGTACATTCGGGTAAAACAGTGTTTACCAGGCGTAGATCCCAACATAAAAAGACAATTATATTCCTAAACGTATAAACACGGATTGGTGCACAAGTTCCACGACTTTATATAATAATGTAGGAATGGTTATTATCAGGGGCGGATCCAGTCGGCGACAGGAGGAGGGGGGGGGGGGGGGGGGGGGGGGGGGGGGTAAGAGCACATATTTTTCCCCAATTCGTAAGAAAATATTTAGCAGCGATTCTTCAAGCCGGTGAATAAGGGGGGGGGGGGAGGTGATGGAGAGGAGAACTAATTTTTTCTTTCTTTGAGGGGGTGAAAATATAATTTTCTTCTTTTTTTACTTTTTACTTTTTACTTCTTCTTTTTTTTTTGGGGGGGGGGGGGGGTCAGGGGGTCCCGCTTTTGTTCTTTACTTTTAAGAATGGTTAAATTTATGTTATTATTCTAATTTTTTTTTACCGTTTTGGGGGCTAGGGGGGGGGGGGCGGGCCGGAGAAATCGCTACGTGGATCCGCGCCTGGTTATTATGAACTGCGTTAATGCTGATGGTGAAATATCTCAACCAAGTTGATTTAGAAGATTATGTGACTCGATCCGCACTTCTATGTCTCTGCAGAGTCAAAAATATAATATCCACGACTGGTATCATAGTGGGAACGTTTGGCTACGTGGATCCGCGCCTGGTTATTATGAACTGCGTTAATGCTGATGGTGAAATATCTCAACCAAGTTGATTTAGAAGATTATGTGACTCGATCCGCACTTCTATGTCTCTGCAGAGTCAAAAATATAATATCCACGACTGGTATCATGTAGTGGGAACGTTTGGCATAGTGTACGTCACGGTCACGATGAAAAGTATTGTTTACACGCCTCAACAGTCATGAAAGAGAGTTGGAAGCTAGTATACACGTGGCAACCCTTTCTCACCCAGTTTTTCATCAGAACTATTTATTGCTCAAAATTTAATACATTCATGCAGGGCAAACAGTGTTTACCAAGCGTAGACTCAATATCAAAAGACAATTATTCCGGACGTATACACACGGATTGGTGCACAGGTTCCACGTCTTCATATTCATGTAGGAGTGGTTATTACGAACTGCGTTCATGCTGATGGTGGAATCTTTAAACAAAGTTGATATAGAAGGTTTTGTGACTCGATCCGAACTTCTATAACTCGTATAGTCAATGATATACGATTGGTATTATGCAGTTGGAACGTTGTGCATGTTCATTATTCGAGGGACAGTTTTTAACTGTGGTAATGGTGAACCAAGTTTGAAGTTCCGCAAGGATCATAGCGGCCTAGCTACTACTTCTTGTGATTAAAAAGGATTGTTTCCAGAGTGCACCAGACTAAAACGAAACTTTAGCTCATCACAGATCGAGGAGTGGGCATCTTCCAAAGAACAGAAAAATAGTGCTGGATAGCAGGTCTCTACATAGAGGAAACATAATTAATCTGATCAGGCGGTCGCCTTTTAAGACCACATTATAATATTGATTTTGCACCTACGTGTTGATAAGAAGTTCAGGTCTTCATAATACTACATGTATATGGAGTAGATCGGATCAACTTTTTATTGAATATTGACGCCAAATACCACAGAAGTAAAATAGGACGTTCATCCTATACAGGTTGAAAGTGAAGCATCAATCCGTAAGCTAGATTCCATCACATCTTACATCTTCCCTGGTAGAGCCGCTAGCTACACCATCGTGGTCGTAAACTTAACTGAATAACCCAATTCATCAGGTGCATTCAACTTCCAGTCAGCTTCCTCCAACAAATATAAAAAGAAAGAAACATCTACCGGACTAAGAAGAGGTCGACGAGATATTCTATTTGTCAACATGCCGATACATTTTCATAATGGTTCCTTATTGGATGCGTTCCCTCTCCTCCTCCTGCTCCTCATATCGCTAATGATCGGAGCTTACTTCGCCCACAGGATAAAAGGACAAGCGGATAAACTTGCTAAGGATGAGTAAAACTTGGAATGAATGCACTGTCAAGAAGAGGTATACATACATGGGCACATAAAAAGGATTAAATACAAGAAATATAGCGATAAAGTTTTTTTCTTTTCTTGTTGTAATTGATATATGTGAAAATGATTGTAATAATTATGTACAGCGCCATGAGCGTCAAAGCCTGGCGGATACCGGCGCTATATAAATATCCATATTATTATTATGTGTCAGTTAAAATATAATAATAGCTGTGGGCCTTATCTGATGAAGATACAAAAAAAAGATCTGTAAGTAAGGGTGTAGAATTAGTGAAATGATTACTGCGAAGTTTATTTTCTTTCCCGCTTGTAAATTAGAGAGAGGATATTTGTTTTCAATATTTTCTGACATTAAAAAACAGTCTAAACAAATTCTCTGACGGGGCCGGTGATGGGGAAGGGTTGTCGTGCTCAGGCACCTTTGGGATCTAGCGAAGGCACAGCGAACATTTTATGTAAATGATATACTTGAGGTATGTCAGATTGGACACTGCAATTTATACTTCTCGTGCAGTTTAATTTGAATACTTTCCCATATTATATTTCCCATTATTTCCCATTATATTTTGATATTTTTTCTCCTTCTATAAACTCAGTGTCGACAATAACATAAGGGTCGTCTTTTAAAAATATTATTTGGAGAACCCCCCCCCCCCCCAAACAAAACAAAACAAAATAAACCAACCAAACAAGTTGCACTATGTAAAAGTCCGACAATACCCTGAATATATACTGCAGTTTCTAACTTCTTTGTAGCAGGGCTGGACGGCCAATCAAAATCAAGGTTTCCGTGGTAGTTACCATTGATATCAAAGTTACCATCAATGTAAGTTTTGTGCAAAGGTGCCCTTAATTTTGTTCTTACATTTAAAAACAAAGTTACTTGGGAATTATCAAAAATGTGTTCTTGATTTTTTTTCTTCTTCTGTTCTAGGCAGTCGACAGGGCCGCCACGAAGAGTCTTGATGTATGATGGGTACCAGAAACGCAAAGCCCGTTCAGATCACAACCATCAATATTTTGATGGTTGATCAAAATCTGATGCATTCCTCTCCTACTAGAATATAGCTGTCCTTGTTGGAATATGTTGGAAGTTTATCATTTTCCCCCTTTTTTATATTCTTTGTTAAAAAAGTTATTTCAGAAAAATTATTTTCATGAAAGGCGAATTTGAGGGTATAGTAACCCCAAAACTCGAAATGAGCTGATTTAAAAACATTGTTTAGTTTGGCAAGAAATATCTCTTTACAGGGTGACTAAAAAAGAACGCAACACTTGAGGTCTGCAATTTCAACGGCAACATCGTCATTGGTTTTTGTTTTATTAGTAAAATGATACTAAGGTCTCAATTTTTGTTTTCTGTTATTGTATAAAGAAACTTTATTTTAAAAATGTGCTACTTTAACGACCATAGTCTTGCTTGAAGCATCTAGAGATCTGTGCATGATAGCTTTTCATACAATCAACCGTGTTGACGACATCAGTCGTGCTTAATAAAAAAAAACAAAAAAAAACAATAACACTGTGTCAATGATGCTAACATTACAGTTATCAGGTGTTGCGTTCCTTTTGTGGAATATGGTATATTAATAGGCCTACATTACACATGCAGTTTCATCCAGCAAAGTGGCAAGTTAAGCGTGCCACCAAGAAACGCAAACCGATCTCCTCCACCTACAACTTCCATGGAACAATACTTGAGGAAGCTACATCAACCAAAATACCTTGGAGTTCATATTTACAATAATCTAAACTTCAACAACCATGTTGACATTATTGCCAAGAAAGCTAACTCCACCTGAGCTTTCCTCCAGCGTAACTTCAGGAAGTGTTAACATAAGATCAAGGAAGCAACCTACAAGATTGTGTACGACCCAGGAAAGAATACACGGCTGTAGTGTGGGACCCACACACACAATGTTCATCAAGAAAGTGGAGCAGGTACAGCTGAATAGTACCAGATTGTAATTGTGAGGCAACTATGACCGTAGATCAAGGGTTAGTGCCATGCTGAATGAGCGCCAGTGACCTTCACTTCAGAGTAAACATCAGCACAGTCTGTTAACTATGCTCTTCAGGATACAGTTCAACCTGGTTGATAATGATGGAAGGACCACCCGATACCATCAGATTGCCGATCCTGGATTCCACACTCCGTCTCTCAAGTACTTTCCTCATCCTTCTCCCCTACGCCTGCAGAGAATAGAACGGCGTCATAGAAGGATCCTGCATACTTCCCTTCATTTGATGCTTTCAAGAGAGCTTTGAGGGAAGTCCTCATCTAACATGCAGTCTTTCCAACACACTTTGCAGCTGCACCTCATCTGTATACTACTGCACAACACTCTGTTTACATGTAAATATAATCTTCACTTGAAGTATGTGCCATACTGACTTCGTGCAGGCACCATCCTGCAGTGTGTTGATCTTCAACAATGATGGATGCATATTTTTTCTTCTTCTGAAGAATGGGTTTAGAGGTTTAGATCATTTGATATTAGAGAAAACAAGCAATAGGACCATGTAAGTTTAGACTGAATGGCCATATTGGCCCTACTAGTTATTAATCCAAATGATGATAAGATGAATGTTGATTGGATCACCTGTGTAGTGGACAACCTTGGTATAGACCAAATGAAGTTCTACATATACCTAAGTTGGTAGGATATGTAAACACTTTACCAAAGGTACAATCAATCAATCAATCAAACAATCAACCAATCAAACAATCAATCAATCGACCAACCAACCAATCAAATAAAAGGCATCAACATTTGCCTAAAATTAAAGGCATATGCTTTATCAGAAATGCCTCTCCTTGATTCATTAAAGTAAATAATGCAGAAATAACAATTCAGTTTAAACTCATCTACAAATTATGTCTTTACATGTACTTACTTGGGTCATATCGTTTCATATTCACTTGTATCCAGCATGTTTTCAGTGTAATACAGTCTTGATATGCCTTAGTTTTTAAAACATTTTTGATAGTCATGGATGAGGACATATTTTTACTTTCATCTTGATTTGTACTGACACAGCATTCAAATGCAGAAAATAAAGACAAACAGACAGTTTGTTTCCTTTGGCCCAATGAAATGACACCAATTGTTTTCATACCTTCATGTTTATTCATATAATCTCTTCTCTTCATTTCTACAATGAGACACAAAAATATTCAAGGAAACAGAATGGTATAGCAAGGTTGATAAATACACAATCCGAATACTCATTGCACAGCCATTGGTCGGCTGGATTTAGTTCATGAATATTCACAAAGTGGTTGGCCAATGAGAATTCAAGCAAAGGTGACATTATGAATAAACATATACTATAATGGTCAATATAGTAAGAATAGTTTTGAAGAATACCTTATTATTATGTACATTTGTCTTCCTATATTTTTTAAATATAAATCTTCAATTTGCTTATCATAAACTCTCTTGTGTATACATTCTCTCTAAACAGACTAGAACCCATCTCATACCACAGCTGAGTCCTTGTAAAGGCCAGCATTCATGTTTTGTGTTTTTGTGCTATTTTCTATTTATGTATTTTTTGTAATGATGTACCTACTGTGCACAAAATTAGAGTCTGGGTGTACAATCAAACTTACACATAAACAATGTCTTGGGGCAGAATTCTGAAAGCTAAGTCCTCTTATTAATTGAGCGCTAACAGACCTCCAAATTGGTGTCATGAAAGCTCATGAAGCGGTCAATTAACTCTGGAATCATTAAATTATGCCCCTCCTCTTTTTAGCCCATTTCCACCAATCAGATATGCTGTATCAAAGAAATATGATGTATATGCACTCCAACATCAACATAGGAAAATGTGTGTTGAAACGCGCAGATTGCGAGAGTAGAGTTTTTTAAAGCCTTGTGATAATTTTACTTTCTGGACTAGCTTAAAACATCCTTGTTTAAAACTAAAACTGAGACTGCTACGTCATATAGAAAATAATATGGTAAGTCTCATTCAATCAAACATGTCATCCTTGCAATTGACGGTCCAGTATGAAGCATGAACGATTCAGTAACAGAGTTCTGTGTCATTAAAAAACTGTGGACTTAAAATATTAAGAGACCTATTAGGTCTTTCATCTTTTTGAAGTAAATTGACTGCTCAGACTTTTAGAATACCAAAACTCTTTTACCTCTTCATTTAACTCAAGCGTGCACACCACAGGCATACATCAAAGGTTATGTGCAATGCAACCCATGCCAAGTAGAAATGTGCACTTAAGTGACCTTTTAGAATACTGCCCCTGGACATTAACAAAATTAACCATAAGAACCACATAAAAAAAGTCTGTTTTTTGTATTTGGTGCTGATATTTAGGGTTAGTGTAAAAAGTTGCCAATGTTCTAAATGGGATAAACTATTTGTTACAAGTTCTATGATAAAATTATTTGCACTAACCAAGTTTCCATTTTGAGTGTTGAGGTTTCCAAGAACACTAATCAAAGTCCTTCTAGCTAAAATGTGTTAGATGGTAATGCCCTTCTTGCAACAACAACACATTAATCAACATAGAAAGTTACGATAGAGGAGCAGGAAGATACAACAATTTTGTAGAGCATAGCCTTTACAAAGAAATATATTTTTAGAGAGACTGACATGAGTGATACAGAATGAAACATATCTCATGATTATAGTACTTTTTTTCTTTTCAAAATATGTATTGTAAATAAATACAACTGTGGTAATAAAATAAAAACAAACAATTACAAACAATGTACCTCTTTTTATGTCATCATTGCTTATAATGTTATAAGATTGCTGGAATGAGCTTTGGATAGATATTTCAAGTATCTATAATGTTCATATACAGAGAAATACATGTAATAACAAATATTCATGATTATTTGTACTGTTGAAGATACCATGATTGTTTTTTTTTTAAATAACCCATAGCAGTTAAGTGTCACCTTTTAGTGACATTTCATTTTAATACTTTCATCCAGAATGCTCTGAATAACAAATTGAACTTGAGCAGAATGTGCTTAAAACACTGGAAAGTTTGAATCTATTTGTGTAGCAGTACATTGTGCTGTTCAAAGAGTTATTTCATCGATAATAATTGAAGTCTCAAACTTGGCAATGGTGAGTCAAAATACAAAGTGGCAATTTCTTGTTAACTCTGAAATGTACATCCACACTGCTTCAATTCATTTTGTTGAATACAATGAGTGAAAATACAAATAATTGTTGTGAATTTGAGGATGAAAGGCTGATTCATTGAGACATTCAGAAAACTCTTATGCTATGGGTTAACAGAATACAATAGACAGATTATCATACTTGAATTTGAATATTGCACAATATGTTTGAATGTAAGGTTTTGAAGAAAACTATTCAGTGATTACTTTCTATAGACAAACAAAAATAATTCCCTTTCTTCACACGGAAGTGTATGTTTCTTGGGTGGGGAGGGAGGGGGGGGGGGGGTGGGGATTAACACATTGGAATGATTATATACATAAGGAAAAGCCATGGAGCTGTATTGACGATCAGATTAAACAAACAATAGCATTATTGATATAAATCTTACTGAAAGAGAATTATGGAAACTTGTAAAGAGGAATGACAAAATGTGTACATGGAGTGATGGACCGCACAAGGTCTAGATAATTAAAAAAAAAGAGAAAGAGAGGACTAACACATTTCTTCATACATCTAGAAAATATGGCATGCGTAATAAAACATATTTTAAAAATATTAAAAAAAGAAAGCTGAACTGAGCTTACAATAACATTGCCAGTTGTATAAATGACACTTAAGCTAACAGGAAGAGCTTTTCTATGTTTGCTTTTTACTACAGGAACGTCAAGTGGACTAAAAGAAACCAACCGAATGTTCTGTCATGAGATATGTAATAGCAGTCACAGGATCATTGTACATTTAGGATTTGAGTTGGTATAGTGGTCGACTCTCCAGTGTGCTTAGAGTTCGAACCTGAGTTGCATACTGGCAAGCTATGCCCACTGATAAGGTCATACAACATTCAAACAAACAGCTAGTAGGGTTGGGATTAGGGTGAGTGTATACCATTGTTATCCATGTCAGGGGGAAATCTGGAAACATTGCTATACCAAACAGATACAATTTACGAGAAATATATGTATTTTTTCATAAGATCAAGTGAGCAATGAAATGAACTCAAGAATAGCCTCTTGGAATGTAATGCATGATGACCGGTATGCTGAACCTTTACAAAGGGTCATTCCCATATGACACAGGAAACTGTGGCAGGTTTGCTATGTGTACGTACATGAATGGCAAGGGGAGTTTAGTAAAAGTAGCTGCATCTTTAAGGTCCTACGCACACTCACATATGTATGGTTGTTTAATATAAGATACAGACATGTGAAGCGTATGACGCTGAAGTGATTGTACGAGGGGCGTTCTGTAAATTCACTACCTGCTCCTTCATAGCCGGGCTATGAACTTATTGAACACCCTTCATATTGAACAAAAATGCTGCAGTTTACCACATCATATGTGCATGAGCCTTCATGGTCTGATGCACAAAGAGTTTAACTCTAACAAGACAAAAATCTTGATAAGTTAGACATGATATCAAATAATAATAATAAAAGTGAAATTTGTATAGCACATAATACTACATTTCAAAGTGCCTGTCATTGAATTAAATTGCAAAACCGCACATGATAGTACTAACACTTCACTCCCTGGGAAGTATTCCGACCAGGCGCCATTTTAAAAGCGCACACATTCCAATCCAACAAAATTAACATTTGCATCCTACCGGGAACCCAATTAACACCTGTGTGGAGAGTGGCAAATGTAGATTGATGTCTTGCCGAAGAACATTAGTGTCGTGGCAAGACTCGAACCGTAAACCATATGATCCACTGTCCGACACACCTCTCTCTCTCTATAAACTTTTACGAAATAATTGGCACTGCAATTAAGACTTGAACATTGGTCTATTTTATGTGTCCCAAGAAAATGAATGAGGTTCTGTAAAAGGTCCTAATTCAGGTTAATGAATGCCTTCTTCCACTCTGCTAATGCCCATACCATCTCTATCATAATACATGGTATAATTACATGATATAAATGTACCAGATACTGTATTACACAGATAGTAAACATCAGTGAGGGCAATATTTATCAAACAATTACTGACTACTCTGGAATGGGACAAACTATCATCACAGAGGTGATCTCAGGGCATTTATCTTCCTGAGCTGAAGGTGCTGGAAGATCATATTGAGGGTTCAGTGGCACAAAGACGTAACTCCATATTTTGCCAAAATGAGTATTGGATATCAAAATGTTCAGAAAAATGTGGGCTTTCCAGGAAACACAAAGACTCAACTCCACCCAACAACCCATTAAAGTCAATGGCTAGTGAAACATAGACTTAAGTCCTTAGGGCCCAAGTGCTCAGTGACACATAAACCACTTTTTCTCAAAATGGAGTTACATCTTTGTGTCACTGACCCCTCGATATAGCCCATGAGATTATCTTGAGTGGTCTTCATATAAACCGGTACACAGAATTGATGACATTTCATACTTCTAGTGTATGCCACCCTTTATCTGCCTTTAGAGTCTTTAATAGTCATTATAAATCCCTTATACGAGAGTTGTGTGGTTCAGGATGTGTGGTTCAGGATCTCTAACTTGTAATTATTCTGGCTAATATCTCAACACAACATAAACTCTACACCCTAAATGGACACGTAAATGTACCATGTACTACAGAACAGAATCTTGCCAAAATCTGACTTAGAAACGTAAGCCTCATTCTTACATGATGCATGAAACTGCTTAAAAAAAAAACTGATATGGCAAAATGAAACCATTTTATATAAATAGATGCCAAGAGAAGTGAAGTGAGCAACAAAGGCTACTATACTAGCTTATTTGAAGCGCGCTAAAACCTATGTCATACCATTTGGGTTTTTGAGATGGTTTACTGCATCACATCAGTGAGAATGAGGCTTTCACTTTCCATACAAGGAAGTGCTCAAAAAGTCAGAAGTTGGATTATACATCATAAAGGAAACATGGAGAAAAAGACAACATTTTGTCTTGGCAATCTAGTGGTCAATCAAAAAATCACAAACAATCACAACTTCAGAGAGCCACTACTCCAAAAAATAGTACTTGTTGATAATTACAGATGAATGGAGACAATACTAGATGCAGATCTCCCTCTTTCTCTCTCACTCTTGCACTTGCTCACTCTACTCTTGCTAGTGAGATTCACAGAATAAATAAGGCTAAAAGTTTGGTGGATATATACAATGGTGAAAAGAAAAGATTATAACAGGAAAAAATATGACTCTGAATATACCTCTCTATATTTAAACATCTACAATTAACAAGAAAACAGTAACCAAACCATACAAACATGATTAATGTACATAATATAATCTACGTATAATGTACTTTACGTATATGTATACATTTAAAAGTGGAATGCATTTGAATGGCAACAGTTTTTAAACGTACCTATTCTTTACTTTATTGCAGACAAGATTAAATGAGTTGCGCAATAATATATATATTCATAAAAACAACAAAATTAGAGATGTTACTAAAACAAAGTGGAGAAAAATAAATAAACTGAGCGAAACAAATGGCAGGAAATCTAATTTTCTGAGTTGCGCTTTGAGTGTACATGATAAAAATTTGCTTCATTCTAGAGCTTTAATGAAGTTTATAGATTACTTCTAAATACTATGGTCTGTCTCCTAATGATGTTGATAAGGTCTATGCTATGTATTCAAGACATTTGTAGTTCTGATGACACAGCTTCCCTTCACTCAAAGGTTCATTAATCTGAATATTTGATTCATTGATATGAAAACTTGTTAATCCTAATTGGTACATTTACCACAAATAAATCGTCTAATGATTATCCTGATTCAAGATAATGAATCTTTGGAAAGAAAGCGATCTTTGGAATATACATGTAACATCTATTCAGAGCCAGTAGGGAATTAATTCTGTGTTAAACCCTATCTGCACTAGTTTGGCCAGGAGGGATTAGACCTCCCTGTGTGGTCACTGACAGGTGATTATCTATATCAAATAAGCTCTCAATTAACATAAGAAAAAAAGGGACCATGGGGGACCAACGGTCACCGCTTAGGCATTGTTTGCGATATAGATCGATCGAGGGCGCAAGTAGCTATAAGTAGTGCAGTGGGGCTTTAAAGTGAATGAGTTAATGCCACTCTGGCTCTAAACAGACAACATGGAATAATGGACAAACAGAATAATGAACCTCTAAATAAACAAAACCAGTAGATTAAGAAATCTTAAAAAAATTTGGCAGTAACCAATCTCATACAAGAGCTACATGTAGAGATAGATGCCCTAGCCATGAGCATAAAGGACATGTAGCCTGAAGTGAGCACACAGTGAGAATATTGAATTACTGGTTTGAGATTGAAGCCAATAGCAGGGGGCATCTAATGTACTGCAACCAGTCTTGACACACCTGTGTGATACAGCAATGGCATCACATGGGCCCAGCAAGTGAGGAGGGAAGGCAATGGAATTATCAGTTGGATGAAATGTGAACGAATGATGTCACCAGTCCACATTGTTACACCTCTATGACGCAACTTCAATGCTGCAACAATCAAATTCAAATTGCCCAAACCCAGTCACAGTGCCAAAACGACGAGATGCAATTGGCTCAACAGTACTAGATTATTTGTTACAGGGAAAACTAGCACACTTGCAAAAAAGAAAACAAAAATCAGGCCTGGGTCATTTTTAAACTGGATTAATCATAGAGCATATTCACACCTGAAAAATCTTTCTGTGTAATATGAGACATTGGATTTGGTATAAACATTCATGATTCATGGGCCCCAGTTCAAACTATCTAGGACTCAATAACTTCACAAGGTGGTATTATTTCATTTCGGTTCCTTTCTTATTTTTTTTCTCATTACATTAAAACTGATTCAACTCAAAGTGAGCAATGCAGGGCATGTACATCTATGAAAAACTATCACCATAATGCAATTTTGTGTTCCTAACTGGCAGTGTATATGGAATTTGGTTATTGGCTCCTGTAATTGGTGTATGATATATGCTCGGAACTCAGAAATAATTCATTTGTAATCACATCTGATCATCTGATTAACCTTTAGATCAGAAATGATAAAAAGAGAGAAATACTCCTACAAAATACTGAATAAAGTCTAAAAATAAGTAAATGTTAAGAAATGAACTTTCACCACACCAAAGATCCATGCTAATAGAACCCTTTGGACAATCCCAGTCCCATCCTATGCAATCCATGTCATGGTTCTGCATCAAATTTTATACAGACAACGTACTACTTGTATAGAAACATATCAGACTCTTCAGACTTTACCATAGAGGGGATAACTATGGGGGACACACAAAATCTTTGATTACAGTTTCTGAGTTGTGACATCCAATATGTGAGAAATCTGCTTTTCTATCGACACAAAAAACATGAAATTGTTTTCCTCATGCCTCCTATTTGAAACCAAACAACTTTATCATCTTCCACTTTCACATGGTGCAGTACTGATGAGTTACGATCTTGAAGAAACATTCTGCGTCAACCTCGGTCATGCTGTCTTTACTATCTAGCACATTTTGAAAGCCTTCCTATAATCACTCTTCCTAACAAATCTGACACTGCAGTCCCTGTACTATCTTATATTCATTGACCCATTCTCAAAATAAAACTCAGTGGATACATGTATTCTTTTCAATCAACAAAACCTTTGCATTCTTGCAATACCAATCAAACTCGTTTGAAATTCCTTCCTATGCTTTCATGTGTGGGTTGCCAATTCGCAGATTCCTTTTCACAGGACTGTGCAGTGATGCTAGCTCCTGACGAACTGCTGTGTCCGATGTGAAGTAGTTGTGCTCAACAGTTCTGTGCATCCCTTTATGTTTCTTTTGCCACCTTCCCCATTTCCTGTCATAACTACACACTATTATAAAGATTATAATGATAATAATAATGATGATAGTCAATCGTGCTACAGCTTTTTTCCTTTCAGTGTGCTTACAGCGATTCTTCAATCAATTAATGCGTCCATGAACCAAATCCATATTGTCATTCTCACCAAATCCATATTGTCACTCTCACCGAATCTATATTTTCAATTCTTGAAGATTGATCAACCCATCTGCTCTCAAACTCTCCATTCCTTCCATCCCTCCATCCATCCATCTATCTATCTATCTGTCCTTTCGTTCTCTCCTTTCTGCTCCGCCTGCTTGCATTGCCAATTTGAGTAGTGTCCATAGTGTCACTATGACTGGCAAGCACTGGCAACCAACCGCTCAGGTTAAAGGTAAGACAAAGAGAAGAGTGTTCTATGAACAACAGCCCGACGGCGTCTGCTTTTGTTGTTCCACAAATTCTCTGACGTTGAACTTGGGGTCATTTGGCCGTCTTGTCTTCTTCATTTTCAAGTCTCTATAAGAAGAAGAAGAAAACAAACAAGAAAATATAGAGAGCAAAGTCAATAACTGAAAGACCAGGGTGAGGGTCGAAGTGCAAAGTATTGAGTAAGGTCAAGGATTCAGTAAATATGCATTTTTTTACTTGATGCAGCTACACTGGTTTTTTTAATCCTTCAAAAGCCTAAAAACTATTTGTTGAGTTGGACAATATTTTGTTCTCCAACAAATTCTTTGCTGCAAATCTCATTCAAATCGTTGTTATCATAGGCCTTTACTCTATATGATGCATGCAAAATTTTGGGAAATTGTTATTTACCTTCGTACATTAAACATCATCATGTATACCGGTACCCTGTAATAGTTCATCAAGTATCTCTCAAGTATCTTATGGGACAACGATAGAATGTGCTAGAATGGTGAATATTTGATCAAAGCTAGAGGCTGATGGAAGTTTCTTTGGTATAGGTCACAAAAGATGTATCCCAATGATGATTGAGCATGTGAATACTAGGTTGTAAATTAATCATAAGCCTCATAGGACATGCAACCAATATAATAGAGGAGCTTGTTAGTTATCTGGGCTATTTGACTGCCATGCTGAAATTTACCATTAACATGTTAATAACATTAATAACTTGCATAATTCTCGATTATCATGTCTTGTCAAAAAGGTGCAGATGTTGAATGAGAGTGTTTACATAATCCTGTTAATATTTTAAAGGTACTTTAAAGAAACTAATATAATTTTTCAAATTTTAATAACTTATTAATGAAATGATCATTTGATACCAAATTGCACCTCATGAAAA